CTGGCCTTTCTGAATACCTTGGTGTGGAATTTGTCAGTGGTAGTCAGGAGCCACTGAAGCAGAACCGTAGTGCTTTCTCCTCTCCACATAGGAACCCTGAGCTACTCTGATTCCTTGATTCCTTCTCTCCCCTGCTAATTTACTTCATTCCTGTCAAGGCTACTCCTCTCATACCTCCCCCTCTTCTGACATCTACCAAGAATCAGAGTGCACAGGCAAGTCAAGAAGGGGAGCATTAAGTAATAAAAGGTTACTAGAGTTGGAAGAGCATAACCTGAGGTTTGGATGGTATGGTTCATGTAGATTTCAATAATCATTCTGTGAGATGTGCCTTATTGAGAAGATGACGTCAATGTAAACCAGGCTGTGTTCCAAAATGATGCCTTTATATGGAAGAGAAACAACCAATAAAAAAGATGGCCAAATGTATTAAGATCACCTGGAAATTTGTCAAGGTGAATACAAATTAAATTAAGTGAGCAGTTAGTAGCAATTGTCAATACTTACGGTATATCATATGTTTTTATGATTTAATTGATAGTTATATGTTATAAATTGTGTCAAGTTCTTGATGGCATGGGCATACCAGATCACCTTATCTCTATCCTGAGGAATCTGTATAAGGACCAAGTAGCAACAGTAAGAACTGACCATGGAACAACAGACTGGTTCAAGATCGGGAAAGATTGGGTTGTATACTCTCACCCAATCTATTCAACTTGTATGCAGAACATATCATGCGATGTGCGGGGCTTGATGAACGCAAGGCTGGGGTAAAAATTACTAGAAGAAACATTAACAATCTTAGATATGCAGATGATACCACTTTGATGGCCGAAAGCAAGGAGGAGCTGAGGAGCCTTCTAATCAAAGTGAAAAAATAAAGTGCAAAAGCTGGGCTGCAGTTAAACATTAAAAAACCAAGATTATGGAAACCAGACTGATTGATAACTGACAAATAGAGGGAGAAAACGTGGAGGCCGTGACACACTTTGTATTTCTAGGTGCAAAGATTAGTGCAGACTCTCTTCTTGGGAGGAGAGCAATGACCAATCTCGATAAAATAGTGAAGAGTAGAGACATCACACTGGCAACAAAGATCCGCATAGTAAAAGCAATGGTATTCCCTGTAGTAACCAACGGATGTGAGAGCTGAACCATAAGGAAGGCTGAGTGAAGGAAGGTAGATGCTTTTGAACTGTGGTGTTGGAGAAAATTCTGAGACTGCCAGAAGATCCAACCAGTCCATCCTCCAGGAAATAAAGCCCGACTGCTCATTGGAGGGAAGGATAGTAGAGGCAAAGATGAAGTACTTTGGCCACATCATGAGGAAAGCTTAGAGAAGACAATTATGCTGGGGAAAATGGAAGGAAAAAGAAAGAGGGGCCGACCAAGGGCAAGATGGATGGATGGCATCCTTGAAGTGACTAGCTTGACCTTAAAGGAGCTGGGGGTGGTGATGGCCGACAGGGAGCTCTGGCGTGGACTGGTCCATGAGGTCATGAAGAGTCGGAAGCGACTGAATGAATGAACAACAATATGTTATTGTTGTTTGATGTTAGGTTTTCCGTATGTATGTTAGACATTGAATTTTGCTGTGAATATGTTGGAAACTGCTTTGAGTCCCCTCCGGTGTGAGAAAAGTGGTATATAAATCAAGTAAATAAATAAATACTTTTCTTATCAGAAAGATTTAAATTTATTAAATGACCTATGGTATTGAATAAATTAATCAGAATTTGAAAATCTTTAAGCAGCTTCATCAGAGTATTGTTATCCAGTCTTTATATACCTGAATTTTCATGTGCCCCAAAGCATTTCAGCTTGGCTACAAGCGCACTAAATTCATTCTCAGTGCCTTCAGGCATAATCTGGAGGAAGCCAGGCACACCCAACTCCCACTGACAAATTCTTAACTGTGTATCTAAGGCCCAAATATTCAAGATCTCAACACATCTTTCCAAGATATTCTGATGACTTATCAACACTTAATCAGATATAAAACCTGTTTGTAGTTTTATTTTTTTTCTTCATAACAGATTAAGGACCAATAATGTATGACAATTTTTAAAAAGGCTTAATTCTAAGTTTAGGTCAATTTATCCTTATGCTCATCTCCAGGACCACCTTCAAGATTTTCTATGCAGCTCAGCATACCTGGTGAAGAAGCTGAGGGTTTTTTCCCCCTCTTAGGGCAATCTGAATTATGAATTAGAGCTGTTTTAAAAATGCAACCCTGCAGCATATTTAAAACTGCAAAGCTCTCCTATTTTTTTTCCTCTGATGAGATCAGCTTGAAGGCAGTGATAATCACTACCAGTCCAAATGCACACTGACAAAGCAGAAGCAATGCTGAAGCTCTGACATTCAGTGTCCTTCTCTCCTCATTCTTCTTTGGCATAAATTCAGCTAAGCAACAGCTAATTGTAGTAACCATTTCCTCAAAGAACTCTCTGCATATTTTACCAATTCACTCCAGTGCAAAATGACCCTCAAGCATTCTTTGACATTTGCCAAAAATAGAAAAAAGGGTCAGTGTTAATACAATGTTAATAAAAAAACAAATAAATTAGCATCCTTCTGCTAATCATGAATTGGACAACTATTCTTCCCTAACAAGTATTTCTGCTTCTAGACCATTATGACTGAAAATGGTATTCTCAATAAAACCACAAGGTATATCCATTCTACGGAAACTCTATTATTGACTGGAATCAAACCTGGCTACAATTAAACATGCAGGCCAGAACCTACTTAACCACTCCTCCTTAGCGCTCTCTGGCTTCTACTTTTCCCACCAATTTTATTATTTAATAAATATTAAATATTTGGTAACATCAGAGTGTAGCTCTCCAGTTACACCAGCTTCACTAGCTAGCACTCCACAGTGCTGTTACTGCTGCTGCTGTTCTATGCCTTCAAGTTGTTTCTAACTAGCAGCAAACCCATTACAGTTTTCTTGGTAATATTTGTTTGCAAAGGCTTGGTCTTTGCCTTTCTCTGAGACTGAGAGGGTATGGCTTGTCCAAAGTCACTCAGTGAGTTTCTGTGGCTGAGCAGGGATTTGAATCTTGGACTCCCATAATCCTACATCCAAACCACTACACCAGGGTAGCTCTCAAAGTGCTGTCTATGAGCTTTACAGTCCTATATTACTTGGATCCAGATTATCTGAAAGTTTGTATTCTCCTATTCAAGACTGCCCAGGTTTTGAAATCTCTGGGTGAGGTGCTTCTCCCAAAGAGTGGGTTCTTCTTCTGACAAAGGCTAAAGTATCCCTGCTCTGTTGTCCTTCTGCTAGCAGGCAAAAACTCTTTCTATACAGGAAGGCCATCAATAACTGACTGCCAAGTAGAGAGGGTTCTGAACACATGGGCTGCAGAGAAACACCAGGAAAGAATGCTTCTAGAACATGGCCATACAGCCTGAAAAACCTACAACAACCCACATGGGCTGCACTTTTTAATATCTTAATTTTGTTTATTATGACTCAGGCAGTTTTACTTGTTTTTACTTATGTTTTAAAACTAGTCAAGATTTATTTGTATTTATTGCACTGGAATTACATTGGAAGCTGTCTTTCTTCCAAGTCATAGGAAAAGATGAGATATAAATCATACATACACATCGGTATTTGATGATATCAACGTAATGACATTTATGGCCCCTTTTCCTTCAAGGAGGTATACAAAATGTATCTTCCATTTTAACAACCAATTTACAAGGCTGTTTAGGCTGAGTGCAGATTTGTAAGATATGTTAGACCAGAAATGTCAAAGTTGTGGCCCTCCAGATGTTTGGGTCTCCAACTCTCAGAAGCCCAAGACAGCCTGTCCAATGGCCAGGAATTCTGGGAGATGACGTCCAAAACACTTGGGGGGGGGCCACAAGTTTGACATCACTGAATTTGGCTCATTGTGAGATGGAATCTATGGTAAAAAAGAAAAGAGAAATGTATGGCAATGCTGGGTATAGAGTCCAGTGTTACTATCCAATCTTCTAGGATGAAATTTAAAGAATATGGAACTGGGGATAGGCAGTGAATTTAAATGTCGAAACAGAGATAAAGGAGAAATACAGAAGAACAAAAAAACCCTTTAGGATAATGGATTTTGATTAACAAAAACACTTAAAGATATACATTTGTACCACTACTGCAGTCAATTGCCTTATCACTGAAATATGAAGTGACTGGGTATAGTTTAAGGCCCATCTATTAGAACATTCAATTTACTACATTCTGGTTCTTTTCTCCCTTTCCACCACCTCCTTTGGCGCAGCACTAACCAAATCCTTCTTTACTAATCCCCTCTCCTCTTTCTTAGTCCCTCAGCCAACCTGTTACCAACATCTCTTTCCTTCAGAACACTGCCTTTCTCTGCCAGAAGGCTTTGTCTATTTGTTCTTCATCTGAGTATTAGATTTTTGCAGGCACAGGTGTTTTCCCCATATGGCACGTGAACTGATGACATGTAGAAAATTTCACTCTATATAGTTACACATCACATATTTAACTTAGACAAAAGGTCCACTCAGAAGAAATTTCCACCAATCAAATCAATGTGTGAGTGGAGGCCTCACTGACTAGTTTTTTTATGTCAATATCAGGCAGGGAGGCTTTGTCTACTACTGCAGGCAGCACACACCTATGAGGAAGAAGCCTTTTGTGTGTGCAACTATACATGTAAAGGGTCTCCTCTTTGCAGATGCACATTGTACACTTCCATTTATATATATGTAAAATGCAAATTGACTTTCAGTGTCTTGTTAAACATTTAGCATATTTCACAGATCACTCATATTCAGCTCATTTTCTCCACACAATTTTCCAGTTGGCTTCAAACAGGACTAAATGAGTTTAAAATCAAAGTACTATAGCTCTACTGCAAAATCGATCTGGTTATATATGCAATTGCTAGTCCTTCACCTTGGCCAGCATTTTGAGAGGGTGGATCTTAAATTCAATGCAATGACATTCTCTGTGGCCAGAGTAGACTTACCCTGGGTCTGTGGGAAATATGGAGCCAGCAGCTTTGCCCTTTTCTTCTCATACCCCTTCTGTGTAATGTCTCCTAAAGAAAAAGAAAGGAGCAGATGTCAGACATATTTTAAAAGAAAACAAGGGCAAGACTTAACCTGAATGTTGATGTAAACTCAGTTTGGGCCATTTGGACTGGTTTTCTGTCTTCAACAATAACTATTTCTTTCTCTCTCTCTCTCTCTCTCTCTCTCTCTCTATATATATATATATATATAGATATATATAGATATATATAGATATATATAGATATATATGAATGCTCTGTTCATTTTGAGTGACATCATAACTCAGATAGCCGCCCAATTTGGCCACAAGACACCTACTAACGCAAGGAGTGACCATCACCAAAAAAATATTTTGTCATTTGGGAGTTGTAGTAGCTGGGATTTAAAGTTAAGCTACAATCAAAAAGAATTCTGAACTCCTCCAATGATGGAATTGAACCAAACTTGGCACACAGGAGTCCCATGATGAACAGAAAATACGAGAAGGGTTTGGTGGGCATTGACCTTGAGTTTTGGAGTTGTAGTTCACCTACATCCAGAGGGCACAGTGGACTCAAACAATGAAGGAAGGATCTAGTTCAAACTTGGCACAAATACTCCATATGCCCAGATATGAACACAGATGGAATTTGGAAAAATTGACCTTGACATTTGGGAGTTGTAGTTACTGGGATTTGTAGTTCACCTACAATCAAAGAGCAATCTCAACCCCACCAACAATAGAATTGGGCCAAACTTCCCACACAGAACCCCCATGACCAGCAGAAAACACAGTGTTTTCTGATGGTCTTTAGCAACCTTTCTTATACCCCCTTGCAACCCCCCCAGGAGTCCTGACCCCCAGGGTGAGAAATGTTGCATTAAGTCCTTACAGTTCAACTCCCTTCACCAGGGCAAGAAAACATAATCAAAGCTCTCCTGCCAAAGAGCCATCTAGCCATAGATATAGATAGATAGATAGATAGATAGATAGATAGATAGATAGAGACAGACAGACAGACAGACAGACAGATTTGATTCACATACACACACACACACACACATACATGACATATATAGTATCATAGATTTGAAAGTGACCCCTAAAGAGGGACAATTATATGTTGCATGTTCCAGAGTAGGCAAACCAGACAATCTCTACATCAACACTGACAATGAAACAACAAAAAACACGGCTTACCCACAAGCATAAAGAAATTATATATATTAGAAACCAACACTTTCTGATTACTTTATTTTCCAGATCACCAGAGTGGGCCACACCAACGTGTTGCAGGGGACAGCTAGTAATTAAATTAAAGTAGAGTGACTGAAAATCATCCCCCAAAAAGCTTTCATTGCTGAACTAGACAATTTAAACTGCTTTAGGGATTTTTCAACAGTTTTGACATGATACAGCTAACGTCATTGTTAACCCGTTTATTTAAAGCAGGTCAGTACTACTAGTGACCTTCTGAAAATGTAGTGCAACACAACTACTAAAAGCCCAAGTGCCATACAAAGTAAAGAGCAAGATTATTATGATTAAACTGCGATCCCTGAGAGAGATCTGTTCACTGTGCAGAAAGAACCATCTGGCTCTTTTGTCTTTCACTGTAAAGTCTCACATTGTATTTGAATGTCACAAAAGAGGCTAAAATTTCAAAAGATTAAATCAAATGATAAAAATAAGAACTTGTCAAACAGTTTAGTTCTGTTTTGATTCACCGTTTAACTAATCTGCAGGCACAGATGTAAAATTTTTGGATAAAAATTGTATTAACACCATTACAAATTCAAAGTCACTTTACTTTAGAAACAGAATATATGTATTATTTGGTTTAACAATATAAGCATCAGTTTATTTTATTGAAAGTATGTATATGTAAACAATTACAAATCAAATTTATATATATTTAATGTTTTTTTCTTTTTTCTAATGTTTTACTTGCACACACAAAATAACTGTTTCCAGAAAAAGTAGTGAAAATACATGGTAAAAGGGAAGCAAAGAGCAGGAATATAATGTAATGATACCATACATAATTTTACATAAACATATTCCTTTCACATAGAAATAACTTCAAAGAGTAAGGAATCTACATCTTATAAATGTTTATTCATAATTGTGGAAGGGAAATATTCATAATCCATTAAAATATTTCTAAGGGGAAGGATTTGGAAAGAAAAATAGAATCTTGTTTCTTAATTTTTCCATCCCTTCTCACTAGGTCTTCACATGTTGAACTGCAGAGTTGGAGCCTGGGTATTACTCAGTGCATAGAACAGAGCAAATTCAACATTGGGCCCATTATAGCTGGAACTGAGTTTAAGATGGCCTAAGGGCCCTCTAGCATTTGGGGCATAGAAAGCCATTTCCCAACAGTTCTCTGGGCCAACTAATTGTGTGTTTTAAAATATATATTTGCAATTTAAAATATTTTTACATTTGCAGTAGCATCATTATCTCTGTTTCACCAAATGGACAGTAGAAGGAAGAGAGAGAATATGACTAGTAAGTCTGAGTCAACACATTACAATGACACTGTGACAGATCAATTTTTATGTGGGAACCCTATCGCTATGAGTTTATGCTTTCAGAAGTTCTGTGAGGACTGCAAGGTTTATTGAGCTAGTGCCTTCTACAACTGGTTTGGAAATCCTGAGTTGTTGAAGTTGGAAACAGGAAAAGCTGAGGGAAGAGCAACATTTACAAGCTCAATTAGGCCTGTGCATTCAACATGCTGGGGGTTCAGCAATAGCTGGAATACATTATTTACACTTTGTTAAGAAAGTGACATTGTTAAACTAGTACTACTTAAAAAAAACCTATGACATCAGCAACCAAGAAGTGGCCATGTTAGCCTGCTTCAGGACAAAAAAAGAAGAAGATAAATGTAACCTTGTAGCACGTTTATTTCAGCATAAATGTGATGTACACTGTGTAATGCTTCTTTTTCTTCACCTTTCCCCTCTCTTCCTTACTTTCACATAATTTGGTAAGATCTTTTACCTTTTTGAGATGCTACCAGTTTTGCACAGAAAACATGTTTGCTGTTACTACATCAATATTTCTCGGAGTCAATGCTTCAAACATGGAAGACATAGGACAGTTATTATTAGAAGTCTCAACTTTCAAGAATCCCCTTGCACATTTTTCTCTGCATCGCCCCATCCCACAGTATTTAGGACTGAAACTCTGAAGCAACCAGCAAAGTATTTGACAAAATAATATTTTAAAGATGAATTAAAGTAAAATCGATTTTGTAATACAATAAAATTACTAAAAATGTGTTACATTAGGTTTCTAGTTATGTGTCTTAATTGATTTTAATCAAAGTATTTCAATATTAAAATGAAGTCAGTACAAAGTTCTGTAGTATGTGGTATAGCATTAGTTAGTCCTATTTCAACCAACCAGGAACTACGTTTATCCAGCATCTATCAATTCCCATGCCGGTTAACTGAGAATCTACCATATGGACTACCACTTGAAGGATGAAATGTTCTTGCACGCCGCTAGGAGCTGACAAATGAGCTTTATGTTGCCAGAAGTACGAAGTATGTAATCAAACTCAATCACCCACCTCTCCTCCATCATGCCTGGGCAAGCTCAACAGCATTCCAATTACTCCAACAAATTTCTATTACTATCTTTCACCCATGATTAAACACATATGAAAAAGGAGATAGTTAGACCAGAAGATGAAAATGATTGTTCGTTGTTACCGTGTGCCTTCCAGTCATTTTAGACCTACCTATACAGTTATTCCTTAGGTACTTTAAACTCCTGAGATAAATGTTTAAAAGAGCTTTCCTCTGTATCAAATTCAATGGTGGAAACCTATTATTAGCTTCAAGTTGGAAGTGCCATTCTTGGAAGAGGGTGGTCAGGGAATGGATAGGCGATCTAGTGAGTGTGTGTGTGAGTGGGTAGGTGGGAGGGTGGGCTTTTGGGCGGATGAGTGGATGGCTGGGCAACTGAGTGGGTGGACTGGAAAATGAATGAGGCAGGCGGGTGGGTCTCTGGGCAGGCAGCCAGATGGACGAGCGGATGGAGGCTTACACTGGTAAAATGATGAAACTATGTGAGGAAAACAGAAATACAAAAAACTGAGACCCTCAAAATGGGGGTGCGATTGTTACGCAATGGTGACTATTATGCAATGAAATATGGTAGTTGCTTAGCCAATGGCTTGGTAATATCCCATTTGTTTCTTCTTCTGGGCTTGACAGGCCTATTCTATTAAAAGGTTAAAGCAGTAAAGCAATATAAAATCCTTCAAGAGAGCAGGCATGAGATCCAAAATGAGGAGACAATAACATTCATGGTATTTCCCAATGAAGACCAGCCTAGCTCAGTTATTGTGGTTGTGTGCATTCAAGTTGTTTCTGACTTATGGTGAACCTAAGGCAAACCTATCACAGGGTGTGTGTGGGTTTTTTTTGGGGGTGGGGGTTGCAAGCTTTGTTTGGGGAGGGGCTTGGTTTTGCCTTTCTCTAAGGCTGAGAAAGAGTGTGACTGGCCTAAGAACACCCAATGGGTTTACACACCACAGCCAAGAAAGGATTTAATCCCTAGTCCCCAGAGTTGTAGTCCAATGCTCAAACCTCTAAACCCCACTGACTTTCAATATAACTATTCCTACATGAACCAATTCACAAACACTGCACCAAAAAGACAACGTAAGAAGGATATGTGGCTATGTAGGAAGCAAATCATTTTAATGTATTTACTGTATTTTAATTCTGTTTTTATTATACTGATATTATTTAATTATTTTTTTAGCTTTTGTATTGCTCTTTTTAAACTGTTTAGTGTGGATAGATGTTAGCCGACTTGAGTTCCCATGGGGAGAAAGGTGGGACATAAATAAAGATAATAATAATAATAAAGTTAATCAACTACCCACAAACATGGCAATCTCCTCTTCAAAAGGAATCGGAGTCACTCCTTCATAAAGAACACAGGCTGCCAAGTTTTAACAGTTTATGGGATGGGCACAGATTAGGAGGAGGAGATAGGTAGGGCTGGATGTGTTTTTAC